TGGGACGGGGTGGAAGGGGTCATTGGGGAGAAAAAGGGACATCTGTAATATTTTAAACAAAAAAAAATGAGCATGGGATAATGAGCTCCATTTTTCATAAAATTTAAACCAAGCTTGATCCTGAAATGCAACAGAAATAGTCCTCAAAAAATTATTCCATGAATTCATTTTTAGTGGAGTTAATTCAAGTCATGCTTTCTGGGGATAAAAATGGACAACGATTAAAATAAGAAAGCAAATGTGACCTTGATGTCCCCTCTAAAGCCCATAATCTCCAAACCAGTTCCTTTCATCTTTTGGTGATGTGAACCTCCTGTTTATTTTGTTACTCTAATTGTAAGCACACGCAGCTTACTCAGAGACTGCGTTCTCAAAGGGGGTCTATGCCTGTTTTATCTTACCTCCCCAAAGTAAAGGAAGCGTGCGTGTGTGTGCGTGCGTGTGCGCACGTGTGTGTGCTTGTGTGCGCGTGTGCATGTGTGTGTGTGTGTGCGTGTGTGTCCCGCCGGTGGTTTAAAATCGAGCCGGGACTTCCTCCTTGAACAGCTGCCTTTCCTGTCACACAGGCAGACCTCGCTGGAGGCTGGACACAGCCGCAGCGAAGCCCCGGGTATGCTGGCCAAGAAGCCCCCGAAGCCGGCCCCGCGCAGGGTCTTCCAGGAAAGGCTGAAGATCACCGCCCTGCCCTTATATTTTGAAGGGTTTTTATTAGTCAAGCGCCCAGAATACCAGGTAAGCCTGCAGACGACACTGTTAAACCAGCAGCTCTGTCTCACTGCAACATTTATGTCACAGTGTTCTGATGTGAGGACCTCCTTGTTTCTGTGGGGGTTAAACCCTCTTCTTGGGGCTCAGAAATATTATTCCATTTTTGCATAGTTTAAGTGCAATATGTGACTTAAACATATGTGTATATATGTATGTATTATACAGGCGCGGGCAAAAGCAGGTTTACACTTTTTCGTATGGAAAAGTATATAATGCAAAAATAAATAACAGTACAAGAATAAACTCTGAGTTCCGCGTACTCACAACTGTAAACCTGCTGTTGCCCATCCCTGTGTATAATAATATAAGGTTCTAATATGAAGTTACTAAGGTAACAAAGTTCAGTAAGCTAAATTTCTGAAGAATTAACTTACACATCACAGAAGATTTTGGCTTAATAGATGAAATGTTTCCTGTATTTTCTCTGCAGTTTACTACTGTGCTTCCACGATAACTTGTATCATTAAGATAAAATGTGATGATTGAAATGAAACCTTCTGCTCCTGTTATCAGTTGTTTGAAGCTTATAAATAAGGATCAGTTGCTTTTTAAAGTGGTAAACTTTTGTGAAAAATTGTGAAAATGATAAAAGTAATACTGTTTAACAATGTATCATATGTTCTAGAAATACTGCTCAAGGCTGTGAGTTTAAAAGATAATACTTAGGAAATTGAAGAATTTTAAAAAGAAATAAAAAGATAATACTTAGGGTGCTTTGGGGATGATCTGTACTCCATATGACATGAGTACACTCTGTAAAAAAATTCACAAAGCTTCCCATATTTTTTAAATGTAAAAATGAAAACTTATAGTTAGTTAAAATCAGTGCTTTTAGAATAGTAATTGTAGATAATTTGAAATTAATGAAAGAAATACACACAAAGTGCCTGTTACTAAAGAAAAAAAAATCACTAACAACTCAAATTTTATGAAATGTTAATATTGAAACTAAAAAAACGTGTTTTGAGAAATGCCATTAAGGAATATTTAATAATAATTTAAAAATTATTTTTCTGTGGATTTATTATTACTTGAGGGGGAAATTGTGTATACAAAAATATCTATAATAGCACATATTTCTTGCATAAATAATCAGACCATTTACTATTTTGAGACGTGGTAATTCGTATTCTGTTATGGGTGCTAAATACGTATTTTTAATATTTGTCAGTTACACTGGAATATTTTTTGCTTGATCCTATGTGCTTTAAAAGTGAATTCAGTCTTGTCACCATGGGTAAGCCACATGGTTACCCTTTGCCAGGAAAGAGAAGTTGAGAAAAGGAATTTCCAATTTGTAGTTTAAATTTTGTCATTCATTGATTGTTTTCCAAAGTATTTATACTTACTGTCTCTGATATCAGATTCCTTTTCATGTTTAAAGAAGGCATTCCACTGGTATGCTTAGGAGAAAGAACAAGGATTTTAGAGTGTCAGTAAAACATGACTTTACCTGATGGTTTTGCTACTCAGAGCTTAGGATCTTATACAAGTTACTCAATACCCTTGAGCCTTGATTTCATCAACAATAGGATGGAGAGAACACAACTTGCCGCCCAAGGTACAGCGCCAGGGATACGGTGGGTGCCCAGTCTACTTATTCATTCAAGCATCATCTACTGAGTCCCCTATGCACCAAGCTCCACACGCAGTTCTGGACAATATGAAGAAAACACAAAGACCCTACCTTTAAGAGGCTAAGTTTAGTAAGGCGTGCTGACGCCCTTACCCAATTACTACTGGGCCTTTTCTTAGAAAGCATGCTGTGAAATGGGAAGAATAAACTATAGGCATAAATATTTCTGATTAAATTAGCTTGTGCTTCCACTTGACTTCATAGCAAAGTATCTTTTACTTGTATGTCAGGGAGAAGAGAGCAAAGGGTGACAATAATGTCTACTGATAGGGTGGTCTCAAGGGTTAAAGGGATATCATGTAAAACACCTGGCTCACACCAAAGGTTAGATTCATTCTCTTCCCACTTCACTATTTATCATATTCTTATCACCATACTAAAATCACTTTTGAGTCCACAAGTAATATGGCTCAAAGGACAGCTACGGTGATAGAGGGCTTGGAAATGGAAGCTATGAGAAAAAGCTAAGGAAAGTAGTGGGATTTCTAAGTTTGCAGCCCCAAAGTGCCAGGGAACCTTTGAAAGGAAGGTGAGTCACTGGTACACAGAAGGTCATCTTTGGAGCTAATGGTCTGGAGAGTTGGGAGGCTCTGCAGAATGTTAAGTGAAGTTGCTGCTGAAGGAACTCAGAACATTTAAGCTAGAGAACCTATAAGGAGATTACATGTTAAGAGGTATGTCTTAGCTCTTTTTGTGACAGGGCAACATTTAAAAACTTAAGGAATTTTGACCCCAGGAAAATGTGTCAACATACATCATATAAAATGCAATTCCAGAAAGTCAGTGGACCGCAGGTCAAGGACCCATTAAAAGTACAGAATCTTCATGGAAAAGATAATGTGGGAAAATTTGCTTAAACTACAGCACTAGAATTTTCAATTAATCAGGAAGATTTATTTATGAGCTATTAAATGCCACAGTGGGATACCAACAGAAACACCATTCTTATAAATGGGGAAAATTATCATTTATCTGGAACTGTTTAAAAATAAGAGAGAGTTTGGACAACATCTCACAGTTTCTTCAATCTGTGATGTGCTAAAATTAAAAACAATGTGTGTAATGTCTTCTTATTAGCCTGAAAGAATGTGGTCATTATAATAATATCAAAATAACATTTCTCTTATGGGTCCTTTAATTGCCACTATTTAGAAAATTTTCAGGGCTATCTCAGGTGTGCTCTCCAACATAGTATGCTGTAATCTCCAATTTTTAAAAATAACACACTCGCCCAGCTGGCGTGGCTCAGCGGTTGAGCATAGACCTATGATCCAAGAGATTGCGGTTCGATTCTAGGTCAGGGCACATGCCCGGGTTGCGGGCTCCATCCCCAGCAGGGGACATGAAGGAGGCAGCTGATCAATGACTCTCTCATCACTGATGTTTCTATCTCTCTTCCCCTCCCCTTCCTCTCTCTGAAATCAATAAAGATATATTTAAAAAATAAATAAAACACACTCTTTTCAAGGTTTTTAAGCATAGGTCTCTAATATGACTATTAATTTATTTAGAAATCAAACTTGTACTTCTGTACTAATACTCCAGACAAATTATTAGAGATATGCAAAAAAAGCAATTAAGAAAGATGAAATAAATGAAATACAGTTAGATATTCTAAAAATTTCTTCCCCAATGGGATTATCTTGCACACCTTAGATATTCTAAAAATTTCTTCCCCAATGGGATTATCTTGCACACCCCTGGGGTTATGTGCCCCACTCTGGAGACCACTATACAACATCGTTCCTTAAGCAAAGGCAATTTGCTTCCTCAGGAGAAAAAGAATGGGAGCTTTCTACTGGGGACATAGGACAGAGAGGAACTTAACTGGCTTTTGCATTATAATTGATTTTTACTAGTTACAGTTCAATGAGAAAGAGCACTGGGGAGCCAGAAGATAGAAATATGAGCCCAACTATGGAACTTGGGCAATTCTTTTAAATGGAATGGGTTGCTGTGATGATCGAGTGCGCTATGTAACAATGGGTATATTTTCTTAAGGTCTTGATATATGGCAGCTATCATGCTGGGCTCTTCATGTCCCGTCACTTTGATCTTTACAGTAACTCTTCTGGATAGAAATTATTTTAGCCCCTTCAGATGAATGAGTGGTGGCTCACAGGTGCGATGATCAAAGTTCCTCATTCAGTAAGGGGCCTAGTTTGGATTTTCTTGCCAAGCACTTGAGGTCATCATGCTGCCTCTCAAACTAAAGTTCTGATCCCATTTGATTGTAGGCTTCCAAAGGTTGGGGATGTCTAATTACTAGATTCTTTATCACTCTCAGCTCAACAGTAAGCTCAGTAATTTCAAACATTTGTTTAATTGCATGAAAATGAGAGAGTGACCTTAATCTCTAAATACAGGTCATATAATGATTATGAAGCTAGCAATAAATTCAGTAGTCCCATTTCAGTCCCTTTTCTTACTTAGCAACTTAACACAAGTGATTGCTAAAAAAATAAGAAACTTGGGGCTAAATGTATTTCATTCAAAAATATGTCCTTCCAAATTAATTTTTAAAATATTTACATACCTCTGTAAATATAAATATATACTTAGATGTTGATAATTGAGAGTAATATTTATACATGACTCAGATTATACTGGTATTCATGAGAGCTTATCAGAAACTAAATCAAGATGTGGCCCACAGGTCTCTGCCTACCAAAGGTAAGTTTGATCTGACCTTCAGTTTGTGGCTGCGGTTAGAGTTCACAGGTCCTAGTGTTATTTATAATCTTATTTTTTCTCCAGGCTGCCTTTACTCTCAACTCAGTGTCTTTTTTCTTGCTTCTTCCCATATTTTACAAGTCCTCCTTAATCTTTTCCATAAACCTATCTGTTCATTTACCAGTAAAACTCCCATTTCCTCCGGTTAACTCTACCCAATTCATATCATTCTGTCATGACTGAACACCTCTGCAATTTTTCTCAGGAGCACAGATGGATGTCTGCATGGACAGACAGAAGGAAATCAGTAAACCCTGACTAGCTATTAGTCACTGTCGTTTTTCTGTCTGATAGTAGGTTAATACTAATGAAGCTAATATAAAAAGGTGAACATGGTGGCAGTCTTTGACTTCAGGCTTTTCTCTTGCTTTCCTTTCCTCCAAGAATCAGGAGGCATCAGCAGGCTCATTACATTACATGACGGTCAGCTCTCAGTGGGGAGGCAGGACGGAGTGGAAAGACCACAGGGCTCGGACAGAGAAACCTTGCTCCAAGTTCCAACCCTGCCCCTGAGGTACACTGCTGCAGTAATACTACCAATTTGTTCAAGCCTCGCTAGCTATACGCACTCCCTTTTGAAACAGGACTTTTCCGCTCCTCCCATAAAGAGGCTGACTGTAGTTTTCTATAGCTTGAATCTGGCCTGGGTCATGCTTTGGTAAACGTGACAAGGCAAAGGATTAGAAAGTACCCAAACATTGGGCTGTGCTACCTCATGCACCTGGGGATCCCTCTGCCAACCTGTGAACAAGTCTAGGCCAGCTGGAGAATGAAACCGTGTGGAGGGAGACTCCACTTGTCTCAGTAGGTGTTTCCCAGCACCAACAGCCATTTCTCTGATTCTTTGGACATCAACTGATTGTTGAACAATTCAGTTCAATTCGGAAACTACCTACCTACTCAGATTTAGTGCAGAATCCACAGCTTAATTAAGGGTTCAGACACACAAGACTGCTCCCCAGCAGCTTCAGTCACCAGTTGCAAGTCCCTGGCCTCCCACACTTCTGACTGACTAGCTATAAATCAGAGGTTCCTATGACACCTTCCCTAAGATTCAACCATTTACTAAAATGGCTCCCAAAACTTAGGAAGACACTTCCCTTACATTTACTGGTAAGGAATATAAATGAACAGCCAGATGAAGCAGTATAGAGAGCAAAGTCTGGAAGGGTCCCAAGCACAAGTGAGCGCTTCTGTCCCTGTGAAGTTGGGGTGCACCACTCACTCAGCACGTGGATGTATTCACTAATTAGGAAGCTCATCAAATGTCACTGTTCAGGAGTTTTTATAAAGCTTAACCTCTAGGCCCACCCCCACTCCCATTCCTTCTTGGAGGATGGTGAGTGGGGCTGAAAGTTCCAACCCTCTAATCATTTGTTCTTTTGGGGACCAGACCCATCCTGAAACTCTCCATGGGTCCCACCCCAAGTCACCTCATTAATATAAACTCAGGTATGATGTAAGGGGATTCATTATGAGTAACAAAAACACTCCTGTCACTCAGGTTTTAGGATCTCTATGCCAGGAACTGGGGAACAAGGATCAAATATATTTCTGATTATTCCACTCCCAGGCATTCTGCATGCCCGGCTAAGAGCGAAGGGAAGGAAGTGAGGCCGCTCTAGACCATTCGGTCACAGCCAAGTATCATTATTTATAGAATCATCAGCCAGCCACAGAATAATAAAAAAGGAAAACATTTGCTGTTTTAGTCCACCAAGTTTTAGGGTAGCTTGTTATACAGCAAATGCTGGCTAATATAGCACCTTATCAGCCCTGAAGACAAAGGGAGGAAATAGTTCTACTTAGAATATGAGAAAGATGGTGGTTGTAACTCAGAATGAATTTGACCGTGAGCTTCCTGGGATCCAAAGCAAATAAGAGCAATGGGTTATAGAGCTCCCATTATTTGAGAAAATAAGTATGTAAATTCTGAAGAGGTGACAAACATTTTGCTGGTCAAAAAAGGGATAAGTGATATGTCAGCATTAAAGAGACACAAAACACCATAATATATAAAAGTGTCTTCAAATTTATAAACAAATGAAAAAATTTCTTCATGTGATTTTTCTTAATTCTCAATATAAACTCAGATAATCCAGTATATTATAAAAATTCAGTTTATTAAGCCCTAAAAAGGGGAATGATCAACGTGTTCATGAAACTGACTGGAATTTTTTAAAACATACTTTTGGAAGGAGCTGGGTATGAGGTAAATCCTTAGATGTGGAAGGATTTTATTCCTTAAACCTCCTTCCATTCTTTTGTAACACAGAACAGATAATCTTCATAGAATGTTAGTTCCTCTTACTTAAATAAACTTTTACTTGGGTGAAATGAGAGTTATTTACATTTTTAAACTTAAAAAGTTGTATTTCTATAGAGCCCATAGCAATGTGGATGTGTTAATAATAAAATGTTTACCACCGGAATGAAATCTGGACTTCAAAGTTTAGCTTTGATGGTGTTATTATTTTATCATTATCAGTTGTTCACATTTCCTTGATCTATATAAATATATACTACTTACTGAACCCAAACTATGAGTCATCTGCTATGCTATGTGCTTTATATGTGTTAATTTATTCAACCCTTTCAACTGTCCAGGAAGATAGATGTTAAATGTTTGCCCTATCCTGGTCCCTTAAATGGCCCTTCATATAGGTGCAAGCTTCCATTGAAACTGCATTAAAATCAAATATCTTAAATCAATGAGGAAGTTTTGGTAAATGATCTACTTAAACACAGATCAAGTTACATCCTTGCCTCACAAGTTTTTTTTTATCTTCACTGGAGGATGTTTATTGATTTTAGAGAGAGAGGGGGAGAGAAACATCTATGTGGGAGAAACATCGATGGGTTGAGCCCGGACCATGGATAGAACCCACAACCTAGGAATGTCCCCTGACCGGGAATTGAACCTGCAGCCTTTTTGGTGTAAGGGAAGACGCTCCAACCAACTGAGCCGCATCGGCCAGGGCTTTACCTCACATCTTACACTGAAATGAATTTGTGAAGGATTTAATCAAGAATTAAATGTAAAATTAAGCCATAAAAATTAGCTGACTTATCTCACGAAAAAGAAGAATCTTATATCTCACAGCAGTTAATAAAATTACAAAGTAAAATGTCAATAGGAACATAGCTGAATATTACACTGATGCTTATGGTTTCTTTCCCACAGGAATATAAACTTTATTGGACAGAGTTGAGAGGAACGACGCTTTTCTTTTATAACGACAAAAAAAGTACAATAGTAAGTAGTTAAACATATTCAGCTGACTCAGTTTTTTCCCAATATACATTTGTCATATAGTCTATTATTCATTTGGGATTTTCTGTCTTCCAAAAGTAAAAACGTTTTAGTAAAACCAATTCAAACAAGAATATTTATATTTGTGAGGGTTACTAATTATAAGACCCACGGCAATAAAAATTTCTGGGCAACTCAGAAGCAGGTATTAACTCATATTTTAAAGTTTGTATTCTTTTCTTTCTGATCCTGATAATAAAACTTGGTTGAAAAGTGAAAATTTTAGCTATACCTTTGGACACAACTGCATAATACTAAGTGATAACCTTAAGTTTTCCCCTTTTTATCTTCCTGTCACATGCAATTATAATCTGAAAGAAACCAGATGATCCCCAAAGCCTCATAACATACACTATGTCATAATTTTTTTCTTTGGAAAGACAAAAACATACCCCACCAAACAGGATTTCTAAGAACTCAAGCATGAGAATAACAATGAAAGATTCTGATATTTATTTATTCATATTAATTTCAAATAATTAGTCAATATTTTAATTTTTCCACACAAAAAAATTGAAGGATGGTTGTGGATTTATTTTTCCCCCCACAAATAAAATGTAGTATTTTAGTAGAAAATTCTTGCCTACCATGAAATGCTATGCTTATAAGAGATTTTATGATCCAGTAACTTGTTTAAAGAAAACCATTCTGGACCTTGGATGTAGCAGCCGACACTCCTTAGAGCATCATTATTACATATCCAGATCTTATGAAAGAAACAGAAAAAGAGCCTGTATTCCACCCGCAGACAGCTCAGCTCCATTAGTGATAAACTAACCAGAAGTCATTTTGAATAAAAGCAAAACCAAACAAAATATTTATCTTCCACCAGAATTCTGGATAGACAAGACTTATATAAAGGTGTTTTCAAATACTGTAACAAATTTTAACAGAGCTCATTTCTCTGTTTTGCTTCCTACCTTCCCACTGATGTCAGTAAAAATGTAAAGAGCCTGTTCCGACCTTTGTATAACGCACACTGTGAGTGAGGGAGTCAACAGTCCTCACTGCAACAGGCAGTACAGCTTAGTGCCCGAGTCTAGTCTTCGGGTACGCTACCTGGGTTTTACCCTGACCCTGCCACTGTTCACTCTGCCAACTTGGTTTCTTGGGCTGCTTACCTAACCTCTCTTTATCTCAGTGCATCAGGCAGGGAACTGGTAGGAAACTGTTGACACCTCAAATTAGGCAATTTGAAGAGAGTTTAATAAAGATGCAATACTCAAAGCAGTGGACAGGATGTAGAAAAACCACAAAGGACAGTACAGAAACCTGAGACTAGTGACAGTGCCCCGTACGCCCCCTAGGTTTAAAGGAGAGAGAGAGTAGTGGTGAGAGTTGTGTGAAGATGACTGTCTCGAGAGGAGTGTGACCTTTGCTTGAGGAAGCAATTGCACGAATGCCTGACTTCACTCTCATCACTGCTCTGTCTCCTGCCAGCGTTCACCAGCACTCAGGCCCAGCGGGAAGCCAGAGAGTAAGGGTGCCCACAGTGTTGTCCACATATGTCCCTATCCTGGCGCACAGGGTTGGGTGGTGAAGGGATAACAGTGAATCTAGGGGAGCCAATAAGAGATCACCAACACACTCAGGTTCAAAACTCTAAAATTAGGGTGAAAAAATAGCCTCTCATAGGGTTATCAAAAAGATTAAATGAGATAGTAAATGTAAAGCACATAGTGAGCATTCGTGCATCTTTATGTGTATTATTTCATTTAATTCTCATAACCACCCTGTAGAGTAGGTGCTGTTTTAACCCTCACTTTAGAGAACTGAGTAGGCAAGTTTAAAGATTAAGAAATTGTACAAGATCAGACAGCTAATGAAAGGGGTACAATCCGAGTCTTGCTCCTGAGCCAGCATTCTTAACCAGTGTGCCATGAAGAGACTGTTATAATAAACTGGTATAAAAAGCGGATGCAGAATTTGGGGGGAATATTTTGGGTGACAGTCTCAGGAGAAGGCACAGAAATGGAGCAGGTGGAAACTGTAGATATTCAGCCTATGAGAGGGAAGAATTTAAAGCTGCATTTAAATATTTGAATGGCTGTCAGGAAGTCATGTGAAAGAGTCATGAATTTGTTTAGTGTTATTGCAGAGAAAAGAGACTAGGACCAGTGGCTGAAAACTGCCGGAAGGAAAACTGTGGCTTAATTCAAGAAAAACAAAAAACAAACAAACAAAAACTTGCTAGCAGGCAAAACTGCATAGCAGCATGAGTTGCATGTTGTTTGTGATGTGCAAACACAGACTGGATGACTACAGGGAGGCATATCCCGGAGGAGATTCAAGCATCAGATGGTAGCTAGATTAGACAGGCGACCTTCAAGGCTCTTTTCAGCACTACAACTGAAAACAAAGAGTTATGACCTCCTTTTTTCTAATCAATAGCTCAGCTTACAGGTACTCTATCTAACTGGGCCACTTCTTCCTTTGTTGCTTCCTCTTGTCTCAGCAAAATTCATTGAGATTAATCTAGACAATCCATCAAAAAAGATTCTTGTGAAATTTTAAATTCTGTTCTCCTTCTATGTTGAATATCTCTTTGTTCATTGAAAAAATAAATAGCCCAATCCAAACTTACCCTAAACCTTATCAATATAGAAATAGCTCTGGAAAATTTTACTTACTGTTTTTATGTTCTGCTTTATTCAGAAAAACAATGCAGGATTTACAAGAATATAGTAAAATAAGTTATATTAGGCATAACTGAGAGAAAAATACAAGATAAAAAGAAGTCAAGAATAAGGCTAATTTAGTTAAAAATTACACCATAAAAACCCTACTATCTTTTCTAGAAGTGGTCCTAATCTTCCTAATACTAGAGAGCAAGTCTGGCTAGTTACATACAAACCAGTCTATATAGACCAGTTACTTAGAAGAAATATTTTTATTGTACTGTGATAAGATAGGAATTTCTTAATAGGATCCTTATAACCAGTAGTATGTGGTAATTGTTGAAAATGGCTTTCTGGAAAAAATATATGTATCAATATATGTATATAGATTATAAATATTATTTATAAAAAGAATGTGAAGCATAGTTAAAAATACATAATACTCTTTATTGTAATTTTCATATAAGCAATTGATTCTCATAGAATGTTTTTGCTGATATTTCTGAACTCATATCAGAATTGCAATTCAATCATGATGTGACAACTGGAGTTGTTTTCCAATATACTGTTTTCCTAATAAATTTATTGTCATTAAATATATTTGACATCAATGTTGGCTAATATTTTTGTTTACATTAACAAGTAAGAGGAAAGTAAAACAATAATTATGTCAGAACTTCACCTATATTTCAATGATAGGAGCAACCTCTTTGCTGAATAACAGTTTTTGAATTATAGAATAATATTTTGTCAATTTTTTGTTTTGTTCAAAATACAAAAGTTTCAGACACAACAAATTTTAAAGTTTCATCTGCATTATTAATCTTATCTCCTTCACTGTCTTAAGTCTAGACCAGGAACTAGCAAACTATGGCCCTTAAGCCAAATCTTGCCTGTGGCCCAATCTGGTATACTCTATGAGCTAAGAATACTTTCACACTTATAAAGTGTTGTTAAAAAGGAAGAAGAAGAATTTGCAACAGAGACTGTATGTGGTTTACAAAGCCTAAAACATTTACTATCTGGCTTTTGCAGAAAAAATTGCTGGCCTCTGGGACAATTAACAAAACCATAAATCAAGCCCTAATTTATAAAGTTTGCCAATTTCCATGGTGTAAATACTCCCACCATGGCTGATTTCCACCTATCGTGTGACTTCACTGAAAATGAGGTAGGAGAAAAGCAAGGCAGCACACCATTATATAGTATTTCCATCACACAGAAATAAAGATGTAAGTAACTTTTAAGAGCATAGAGAATATCATGTGGTAATATAATTAGAAAATGATAAATTTTGAATTTTAATTACCTTTGTTTTCAATTCATTTATTATATGTCTATATAATTTAACTTTTAATAAAGGCTGTATTTAACAAATAGCTAGCAAAATTCCTGAAAATTTAACAAATCATCTTTTGTAAACCTGTATGTGCCAGTTCCAGCACACCACCACATAAGACATTTTCACATGGGAAGGGAAGGGGTGACACATTGAAAAACCAGGATATCATGCAAAGTATAAATTAGTTGAAAGGAAAATATTATTTATTCTCCGTTCTACTAAAACTAGTGTATGTTACCCATGAAACAATTAAATGGGATTCCCCTTTGTCTTTGCAGTATGTTGACAAGTTAGACATAATAGACCTCACATGCCTTAATGAGCAGAATTCAGCTGACAAGAATTGTGCAAAATTCACCCTTGTTTTGCCAAAAGAAGAAGTGCAACTGCAGGTGAGTGAGGAGACGAAATTAGTCTGAAACAAGTTGTGGTTATAAATAGTATTCACCTCGTCACAGCCCAGTGGCTGAGCTAAAGAGGAGTTAGAGGAGTGCCAAGTCTTGTACTTTGTTAATCTTTCTTGCCTTTTGCCAAGAACTACGCTTTCTAAATAGGGACTTAAAAGGGCATGTTCACTTGTTTAGTATACAAGCACACTGAAACCATATTCTTTGTCCTGTGACAAAGTCAGGGATCCCACCTGGTGTTTTTTAAAAGTTGTCCTTAAATTGATATTCAAGAACTTGGCATTTACCAAGTTCCCAGATGATTCTGAGACATGTCCTACATGACACATGTTTAGAACCACTGAATTAGACAAACCCGTATTTTACAAATTGAGAGCCATTCTGCAAGGCCATTGGCTTATATGCTTAAAAACTACCAGTGTAAGGAAAGCCAAAAACAGACTGAACACCTGTTCCAATTATGGAAACTAGAGTCATGACAACTAAATGCAAAGTGTGATCTGGACTGGATGGTGAATCACACAAGGAAAAAACAAGCAAACACACAAAAGCCCAAAAGCTAATAAAGAGCATTACTGAGACAATTAGAAAAATTTGAAAAAAACTGTATACGAGATATACACAATTTGTGAAATATGGTATTAATATCTATTAATTAAAAGTCTAAACTCCACACCGACAGAGATCTGTACACCCAGATTTAAAGTGAGCCAATTAAACTCAACCAACAACAACAGTAAAAACAAAGAGAATAATTTGCAATTTAAGAAGATACAATTGGAGTTGACCTTAAAAGCACTGGTCATTAAACTTCAGTGCGCTATGAATCACTTGTACTTAGGAAATCCAAGCCGCACCCCACAAACCTGCGCCCCAGAATGAATGTTTTAAGCAAGCGCTCTCTCCAGGTGATCCTGATGTGATGGTTAAGAGCACAGGCAGGGCCAGTCATAAGCCGAGGTTGAATTTGGCTGTTCTATTTGCTGATTGTGTGATCTTAGGTAAGTTACTTAACTCCCCTTGTGCCTTGGTTTCTGCACCTGGTAGTAAGTCTGCTCAGATGGGCCCCTCTCACTGAGATCTACCGAGACTACTTTGTTAAAATGGCAACCTTTTCCCCGCCACGACTTTCTCGATCTTTTACCCTGATCTACATTTTATCTTTCTGATTATTTCCTTCTGACATCATATAATTTACTATTCTGTTTATTATTGATTGTTCCTTGCTAGACTGTAAACTCCATGAGAATAAGGATGTTTTTGTTCTCTGATCTAAACCAGTACTAGAATAGTGCCTAGCACTAAAAGGCACTCGATACCTGTTAAATAAATAAATCTGTAAAAAAAATGATAGTACCTTTTGCTATGGAGATCAAATACGATAATACATGTGAATAGAATAGTAGCTGCTACTTGTAAGAACTTAATAAATGTTGGCCATATTTGAAGTTTTTAGAGCTAACAACTGTTAAGTGTCTAAGGAATAACTTCATTGGTTCTACCTGGTTGCCCCAAATTTAAAGCCAGTCATTGTTAAATACCAACTGTGGGATTGACCATGAATTGACATACTGCAGAAATAAGTGGGCTATCATTTAAATTTTTCTAAGTTAAGTAAATTTGTATAATTTTACTTGTTTACTAAGCAAACACATTAAAGCTATATACTCTGTCTTCTGATAAAAGCAATATTAAAATATTCCACAACAAATACACATTAACAGTTCTAAGCAAAAAGAAAAATGAATTGTTTATTCTAGTCAACTGATTCTAAATGGTGCAAAAAATTACAACTGACTGTTTTAAAACAATGTGCTTCAATAGAAGAATATGCATTTTTGTTGACCGTGCTGATTTTTGATGGCATACACATCTTGAGTTTTTTCAAGCAATCATGAAATTTGGAAGTTATTTGAAGTTAATGAAAGTGTTAACATTCATGGTCATTGTCTTTTCTTTATCTGTTTTTGTCTTCATCTTTAGACAGAGAACACAGAAAGTGGGGAAGAATGGAGAGGATTCATTCTGACAGTAACAGAGGTAGGAAAAATCACTCAGTTGATTGTTTCATTCATTCAACAAATATTTACTGAACATTTACTATGAGCCATGCAGAGTGAAAGGGGTCAAAGATATAGCCGTTGAAGAAGATAGATATAAATCTTCAGACTTACTTGTGAGTTGCTATTTTTATCCAGTGGATGGAGAGGGGAGAAATAAACAAGTAGATAAGCAAGATAATTTAAAATGTGATTATTGCTATGAAGAAAATAAACAGGGCAGTGTGCTAGCTAACAAATAACAAGTGGTCAGGGAGATTTAGTTTTTGGTATCATCCTTGTGATACAATGGTCCTTTGAATATTCTGATATTTTAGCTTAAATGTCATTCTCTAAAATACTTTCCAAGTCCATACTTATTTATTTAATACATATTTATAAAATGCTACCTGAGATGGATTTTATGAATAACACAGACAATGTAACAGGGAGGGACCATCAAAACAAAACTCACTTTGAAAAGTTTGTTTAGTGACTCTTAAGACAAAGGGATGCTGATCTGTTAGACTCTGTGGCATCTCATTTGAGATCAATAGTAAGATCTACTGCTTATGGTTTACTGCTGTAGTGAGATAACCACCATTAGTTTAAACAAAGCCACTGTAGCAACTGTCTTAGAAGCAAGGGGTACTTTTATAATCAGCCCCCCAAAGAGCACCATATTTTCTAATACTTTTAGCAGATAAGAAAATGTTCTGTTTTTTAGGGTAAGTTAAACACAGACTCTCTCCAAAGCTAGTTCCTAAGTAAACGCTTTGCAGTCACCTGAAATAAGCACTGCTCTTTACTGAGACAACAGAGGATAGTTCTTTATCTTAGCCAATAAAAGTTGGAGGCTCAGCTACTGTGTGGGTAAATCATAGGTGGCTTCAAAAGTAGGCCCGTTAAAGGTGTGAAAGACATGCTGACTTTGGGGGAGGGAGAACCCCTCTGAGGCGCTGCATTCCTGCGGAAAGGCCGCATTTTGTGGGAACAGGTACCCTGGCGGTGTCTGAGTGGGGGTCAAGGAGCACAGTAAAACCACTGGGAAAGCTTCGGGGTGCATCTCTCTGCTACACTAATTATACTTCATGTTTTGGCCCCAAAGTTTTGTTTTCATTTTTTTTTCCCCCTTGAAGAAAGGATAAAAAACATCATTTTTAAATTAAAATATATGTAGGTATATTACAGAATATAAAATTTATGTGAATTTCCAAAAGAAGAGATGTTACCTTAAATTTTGGGCTCTATAAATGTTGTTTTTGCACAACAATCCCAGATCACTCTGTGCTGTTGTTAGAACTTTAGGAGAAGTCTGAGAAACACAGACTATGGTTGAAAGAGCTGAGATGTTGCTTTTGAATTAAAGAAAATGGAGTTTGAATCTTGGTCTTACAATTTACTAGCTATGTGACCCTAGACTAGTTATTTAATCTTCTGAATCTGTTTTTTGTGTGTTTTTTTCATTTGTCAAGTAGGATACCTATCTTGTAGCACTGTTCTGAGGATTGGCAATAATACAATGCTTGGGGTGTAATAGGTAATTAGTAAGGAGGAGCTGTTTCATTAGCTTTCCCTCATTCTATTATTTTTTTCTGGATTGGTATATAAGAAAATAACCTTACTGATTATTAGTTAGCTTAGTTATCCAGGAAAATATTCTCTAAGCCGTTTGATTATGTGCCCTTATCAGTACATTTTTATTTCAAATTTCATATATACGTACATACATGTGTTTTAAAATATAGACAATTACATGAATTAATTAGATAATAAGTAAATAGAAAATGAAGTTTCAGTGTTTTCTTCCCAACACCCCCTGGAAAGCAGGGACCCCACTCTGGAGATGAAGATGTTAATTAGGCACGGCTGCCCCCAAATGCAGGCTAGGTAGTGTCACATAAAGAAAGCATTCTACCGTTCAGGTTGCACTTTCCAAGAGCACACAGCTGGCCATAAAGAGGTCTAACCAGGGCTATAAACGTAGATCAGGAAGGTATAGGTCACATAATTCAAAATACATCTCTAGTAAAGGTTAAAGAACAGTAGTAAGTGAAACGGTAACATAACCCTCATGTGTGAGTAGAACTATGAACTACACACAAGCACGCCAAAATACACACCTGACTGCTGAGCTCAGTCCCCAGTGGAGTGCCATTTCAACGCCAGGCTACCATACAGCTGGTGGAGTAATTCTCGGTCACCTGGGGGAGAGCTGTGAGCTTTGCAGGTGCTCTGGGGCTTCTCTGGCAGTGAGAGCAAGCACACTCAGAATGAAAACACGATGAATCTGTTGTTACGTCAGTTAGCCTGTAGTGCAAGGTGAGTGTGCTTTGCTTTGGGGCCAAATCAAAAGGGACATTTCTTGGAAGAACATTGTACACCCTGCGCAGGTTCTAGTTGGTTTAGAGGCTGTTCTAGGACACCTAACCTACCCCCAGATCGTCTGTGCATGCTTCTACCCACCCATCTCCGTCAGGTATCTGAAGCTCCCTAGGACCAGAACAGGCTCCTCTTGGCTAAAAACTGGTTAGTGATTTTGCTGTCTTTCTTGTTTGCTTACTGTTTTAATTGGTTTCAGCTGTCAGTTCCCCAACATGTGTCACTCCTGCCTGGACAAGTCATTAGGCTGCATGAAGTCTTAGACAGAGAAAAGAAAAGGCGGCTTGAGACAGAGCCGAGTACATCTCTGGAAGAAGAGAGGGAACCACTTGAGGACTACGTGGATGTCCTGAACCCTATGCCAGTGTAAGAGCACCATCAACTCCAGTTTATTTATGAGTGTTAATATTCATTTCTTTTTATCAATATCAAGGAGAGTTAGTCAATGACTTCATTAAACAAGGGCATAAGCTGTCTGTGGACAAACGGCATATTTCTGAGTGCATGCCACATTTCCTCTTCTGTGTCATGATCAACAAAATGCAAAATGCAGGTTGGTACCAACTCTCTTACCACACAGGAAATCCCCTTCCACCTACATTTCAGACCAAACAGATATTCTTTCCAAAGTTTAAACCTAAATAAAAACTGCTAAGAGGAAGGAAGGAAATTACATTTTTTCACCCTGCAACTTTCTGATTGACTGATTTTCTCTCAGAAAATTATAGCAAAGAATTAAAAACACACACGTGTATATACACATAAAACACATAGACACAGACAACAGTGTGGTGTTAGCCAGAAGGAAAGTGGGTTGGGGCATACGTTTAGGTGGGTAAAGGGGCATGAATAGGGACGGAAAGAGACCTTGCTTTGGGCAATGGGTGCACGAGGCAGTGTGCAGGTGATGTTTTGGAGTTGTACACTTGAAACCTGTATGAGTCTGCAAACCAATGTCACCCCAATAAATTCAGTTAAAAAAATAACTGGAAGTTCTATCCAGTTGTTAGTCAATCAGTGATTAGTCATTGAGCTGTACTTTGAGGATGGCCCAGTGTAGAGTGTATGGTATTGTTGGAAAAATGAAGAGGCACAGAACATGCTGAATTCAGCAACATCCTACATCTGTTTTTTACTGTTATATTGTTAAAAAGTGTGACTAAGATTGTGAACGCCTTCCTCCTGGAATCATGGTCGAGTTCTTATCAGTAAACTTGTCTTGGTCCCACCTTTGACATCAGGTTCTGACTCATGTTCTTTCTGTGCTATAATCACCGAAACCTGCCCACCAAAACATTTAGCTGAAACCAATGACTGATAGGCTAAGTTAGAAGTCACAGACTGCTTCTTTTTCTTTTGTGCTCAATAAAACAATATATGTTTTAACAGATAAATAAAAAGAAGACTAAAATTATTCCTTGTTCCACAACTCAAAGACATTTGCTGTTAGCATTTTGATGTATTACAAATCCTGCCAGATATTTCTCTGTGACTGTATAGTTCATGGACTACAACATTTACTATAAAAATGAGAAGTGCTTTCTTAAAAATTTGACACGTAAAAACATCACCAATGTCATAAGAAAGCCATATTATACCAAAAGGAGTTAAGACATCCCCTTAAATATGATTTAAAAGAAAGACCATGCAAGAGAAGCATGTATAGAGGTGTTTCGTATCTCTGGAAAGAAACCACCAACAAATATTATTTACCCAAGAGCCTATCATTATAAACTGAGACTTGAGATACATTGTTAATTCTTGTCTTAGATTTTCGAATGGTAATGGCGATTTTATACTGATCAGTAGATAACTTTTCAGGTCTCCTTTAGTTAGAGAAAGAGGCTTTGGAGGGATGACGGATGGAGGGCTTTAAGCATACACACACTCACAGTGACACATAGTGTAATAATAGTAATTATAATCATATTGTAATTGGAATAATGAAGCTGGGATTTTAAGAAAAGTTAATGACTGCAGTTCTTAAAGTTATTTTAGAAGCATTTTTTCAAGTAATGATCTTTATTAGTTTAAAAAATGTCTGTTTTTTATCTCACCTCTGTAGATGTTTTTATACAGTGTCTCGAAAAGAAGCAACTGAGATGCTCGAGAAGAATCCTTCCTTGGGAAATATGATCCTGAGGCCTGGGAGTGACAGCAGAAACTTCTCCATCACTATTCGGCAGGAGACAGAGTATGTTTAATTTAAAAACATGTGAAATCATTAAAAGCATGGTATCACTTTTGAAAGCAAAGTCATAAAGCTCAGATCAGCACCTGCTATGTGTTTTGTTGGGGCTAAAAATATGACCAGAACAGGGAGGGAATGTTACAGGGATAAGCAGTGCTGAAGGCTCAGCCAAGTAGGAGGGAAGAGGAGCGAACTACTTTGGTCCTGGATACACTTCGTTCATTCATTCATTCATTCATTCATTCATTCATTCATTCATTCATTCATTCCAACAAATAATTTTTGAGCAATTACTATGGGCCAAGTAATATTCTGAGGATGCAGCAGTGAGCAAAACAACATCCCTGGTTTAAGGAAGCTTACGTACCAGCAAGGAAACACAGACTATAAATAAATACATAACCAAAAATGTCATACACATGCTAATAAGGCCTATGGAAGTAAAATACACCAGGATGAGGGGACTCTCAGAGGCAGTAGAGAAAATTACATGCATTCTTTGGTAGCACCTACTCTAAAGTTGGCATGATACAGAGAATGCCATGTGTAAGGATGACATACAAATTCATGAAGTGTTTTATATTAAAAAAAAGAGAAAATTTTTTAGTTGCTCTTGTTTCAATATAGGGTTGTCAGGGAGGGTCTCCTTTATTAACTGACATTTCAGCAGAGATCTGAAGGAAGTGAGGGAACAGACCAATTCAGTATCTGGGACAAGGGCATTCCAGGCAGCAAGCGCAGGCGCCCAGAGGCAGGAGAAGGCTTGGTTTGTTTAAGAAACAAAAGAGGCCTTTGTGACTGCAGCGGAGTGAGCTAGGAGAAAGCAGCACGAGATGAGATTACAGAGGTGGGGTAGGGACCGATGTGCTAAACCCTACAGATCATTGTGGGGACATGGGTTTTACTGTGAATGACAGAAGAGGCCATTGGGGTGTGATGAGAAAAATGACATGGTTTGGTGTATCTATGAAAAGGGCCATTTAGGGGCCTGTTGTCAAGGGTAATAATTTCTTTCTGGTAAAATGGTTTATGTTTGATAGAGAAAGTAACATTTACACGTACAAGTTGATTTTTCTGTGTAGCTAGGGTGGTTGGATCTTTTAAGTTTCACTTCAGCTCTCAAAGTCTATGAAAACGTGCATTGCAACAGTAACTCTGGTTTAGTTAATATTTTCACAACTAATAATACAATTAACATAATAGAGGTTTTTGTTCCATATGAAAATATTCAATAAGTGATTCTTATTCAGAAAAAAGAATAAACAGAACTTTCCTTTTTGAATTTTTTTTTTCCTGAGGGTAACATTCTATTAATTTTTTAGTTATAACATATCTATCAATGAATGTACCTTCCAACCTACCATAAGTATCAATAATTCTAAAGAGACTAAATATGAAGACGCTGACAATGAATAAAGGCTGTAAAGGAAAATAATCACAGGAAAAATTAAAATTATGACATTATGGCTGCATTGCCAGTAGGAGCCATGCCAATTACTTGCCAATTCAGCTTCATTCACTTGCCGATTGCTCTGCATACACTAGCCACATACACTGAATAGTTGGCCAGAATGTTAGATGGTAAATCAGATCCTGGGTCTGTGTGTGAAGAGAGTATGAACATCTATGTCAACCTAAACTTTTGGTTTCATTATTTTTTCATTTATTATAGGATAACATTTGGAGTTAATGATTTTCAATTAATATAGTAGAATATCATAGATAATTCAGTTATAATTCATTTATCATCTAATTGGCTACCTTGAAACAAATCCAACCTAAATAAAAATTATGGCATCAGTGGGCTCAGAAGAACTCCTGGGAGAAAAGTGGATTTTTCTGTTTAGTATATTCTGATCAAGGAGATTATCCTCTTTCAGAGTTTAGGAAATTAGATACCACATAAAAGATAGAATGTCTTTAACTGTTTATTTCCATGCTAAAAAATATGAATACACAAAAGCGAATTAAAATTTTTATCTTGCAGATTTTTTAAGAAAGATACCATCTAACTGGTTGGAAAGTAAACTAGGTCACATACGAGAATGATAAACTTGTTTCCTTCATATTATTTTCTTGGTTGGATAGGATATTTGACGAATTTGCATGTGAACCCCGATTTGCATGTTACTATTTTGCATGAAACAAACAAAATCCTGAGACCTAATGGCTCTTTAAGGACTGTACATTTCCTGCACAGCAGCAGCTGGGTCCCTTGGAAGGTAGTCTACATTAGCCCAACTTTTGCATTGCACTGTACAAGGGAGCTATGGGAAATAAAGGTTTTTTTCTGTTGTAGATGTGGTTTTTGACCAAATGCAAGTAGTTTCTACACTTAGGACATGAACTTACTGTTACAGTTTTTACATATATTTGTATTTTATTTAAACTCATAAGAATCTGGCAAAGGAGTACATTTCAAAGTTATTTCTCATTATAGTATACTCACTTCCAGTTTGAATTCATGTAGTTCATGCTTTTGTACTGATAGTCATAAGAATATAATATTTCATAAAACTAATAACCTCCCCACCCTAAAAGTTCGTATTTAGAAAGCAAGGAGTGAGGTAGAATGGTTGAACTAGAGCATTCTAAAACTGGAGTCAGTATAAGCTTATTTAGACTTTGCGGCATGAAAGCCGTTAACAATTTTTTAACTGTTATTGTACAAATTTTTCTTATGAGTCAGAATATAATGTTACATATTGTTATATGTGTCCTCTAATGTCTCAAAATGGGTCTTTTAGAATCCCCAGATTCCACATCTTTCATTTAACAGTTCACTTAAAGGATAGCAATTGCAGAGGGTAGTAGAATTGTAGCTTGTTGGACTGTAGAGCTCAGTATTAAGGTTGGCAGGAACCCAGACTATTAGGAAGCACCTGCTCCCCACAGAGCCAGCTCATGTCTTACAGGTTGCAGGAGACACGCTCAGCCATGCACGTTCAGATGAGTGTGTCTGGTAAAACACTAGCTGAAAAGGACAAGTTGGTTTACAAACACATCATGAAAGGAAAATTATCTCCATCTGTTAACAAACCAGCTGTGGGAGGGAACACTAGTCCTCAGAAAGAAGCAAAAGCCATTCAATGTCAAATTATCAGGTGATTCCTCTCTTGTAAAATCTCATCCACCTTTATCCAGCTCAGTGGTATGTGAATTCATAAGACCTAACGCTATTCTTACAACTAAGGTCATGGCTTGGCAGAGTTTCCTAAACATCGTTAGGACTATGTGGCAAGCCAGCAGTGTAACCACTTAGGAAAGCCATTAACCAAGGAAGCAGTAGAAAACATCTACCCCAAATTCATTCTTTTGCAAAAATTGAGGTCAGAAGCTAAGAACAAGTATTTATAACCACACTGAAGACCACACATTCTTTTTTAAAGACAGGCTGCTGCTTTTTCTGAGGTCATACATATGAAACCGCAATATACTAAACTTATCAGTCTCATTTTTCCTGCTCCCTTTATTCCTTTGGAGAAACAAAATATGAAAGAAAAACAAAGGTCTAAAATGAGAGTCAAAGCCTCAATGACTTCAATGGAATTTTTTCCTACCTTTCTGCTTCAGAACTCAGTCCTGTTAGTCAAAAGTTCCAGGAGGCCCTGTTAACCTTTGCTACCTCTCCTGTCGCAGCTTTGCCGTGATGATGACATGATGGTTATTACTGATGACAAGCACTGCCCCCACTTACAGGGTACCATTTGTGGGCGCCGTGTGGAGTGCTTGGCACGCATTTTCTTCAGGCACAATAAAAACACAGACAGTATTTTCCATGAAGAAGCTGAGACTTACAGAAACTGCTAACTTAAAACAGTAAATTTTTAAAAAGTATAAAAAATAGTTATAATTTACTGCCAGACACTGTACGAAGGACCTTTCAAACAAAATTCACCCAACAGCTTTGTGAGCGAAGCACTGCCATCTCCGTTTTATAGGTGAAGAAATAAAAGCTGAGAGCTTACAGGGCAGAACCAGCGTTTGAGCCTAGGTGTTTGTAGTTATAAAGCCCACGCCTGCAAGCTTTCCATCAGTCTTCCAGGTCATGGCAATCCCTTATTTCATAGGAATACAGGAATTCTAAATGGAATTGCTGAGAGTTTCCGTAACTGTATGATTCTAAGGCTTGGTTTTCACGGTAGGGGTAAAGATGAAGCCAGAGCCACCCACCCCAACAGAGGGAACTTGTAAGACCGCCTGTGTCCAAAAGTATTTCCTTCACCAATCTGGAACTGATGGCTGAAGGTTCAGCATTAAGAAATAGTTTTTTTCCTTTTTCCCCTTTTTAGGAGGGGAGAGGGTTAGGTTTTACTGCTTGTTTTGAAGCTCTAGAATAAGCCACTGGAATAAAATTAACTGTTTTTCAACATGATATACAATTGAGAGCAGGTTTGAATGTAACAGATGAGGAGAGAGCCCCTTGAACAGACGGCAGTTCAGTCCTAGAGACATGTGCTGGGCAGTGGGGAGCAGTGGGGAGAAAGGCCGGAGGCCTTGCGGACAAACTTCACCTGGTAGACAATTTCCTTCAGCCAGCTTCTGTAAATCTGACAGGTGCTCAATGTCTTTCAAGTAAATGGCAGTGTAATAAATGCTGTGTACTTTTCAATATTAGAAAAAGTCTTGGTCCTGACACTGTTGCCATGTGAATCAAGGGACTTCAAGGCAAGTATTCTGTTGTTCAAAACTAACTGGCATGGACACCGACTTAGCTCTCAGTGTAAGTTAGTTGTAGCAAATAGCACTTTGAGGTGGGCTCCTAAAGTTCTAAAAGTCAGTTTCACAAATACTTACTGTATGCCTGAAGCTGGGATACAAAAGTGAATAGAATGTGTTCTTAAGCAATTCAGTCAACAAAATAGCGCACGTTTAGGGTAGTAGTAGAGTGCTATGTGACCTAGAGGAGGGAGACATTACGACTCATCTACTGCACTTACATGCTCACTCACGTGTTCACCCAGTACCTAACTCCTAGCATTTTCCCCATCTCTAAGTCTAAGGTGGAATATACTCGAGCAGGAAGAACAGTCACTGAGAGCTTTCTGACTGGGTTAGAGAGGAGGTGGAATAGAAAGTAATTTGCTTTCAGGAGTTCTTTCTACTTCTTTTAACATAGAGAATTCGTATTTGATTTGTATATGCCCGCCAAGGATTTTCCTAAGTTATGGCATTTGAAAATATAATTTCTGCCTAAAAGATTTTCAGTTGATTCCTTTATTTGTCCCTGTTATTTTTTCTCACCGAACCACTCAATGACCCAGGTTTCCTGTATCGCTAGAGCGTAACCCCGCAAAAAGGAACACAGAGAATCAGTTAAACAGAAAAACACACACCACCTTTTTTGCTTAGTCTTTGAAATATAGGTTTTATTATACAGGTGACATTTTATACTCACTTCAGTTTGATTTGACCCAACAGTACACTCAAACAGATATTAACTTTTTTTTTTAATATCATTTTAGCATGCCAAGAATCAAGCACTACAAAGTGATGAGCGTTGGAAAAAACTACACTATAGAACTGGAAAAACCTGTAAGTAGCTATTCTATTTCCTTCTTGTTGATGAATTTTCTCCTGCTTCCTTCCAAACTTACCTTGTAGAACACAAAAAAAGGTGGAAGAGTAGACTCCTTGCCTAGGAACACAGTGCTGGAGAGAAAGAGCCATGTCAAGCAGCTCCGAGGTGGCAGATACCCAGGGCGAGAAGTGAGATGTAAGAGCAGGTGGATGAGGCAGAACAGGACATAATCCGCTAAACATTATTCACACTTCTCTTTTTCTGTAAATCTTTATAGTCATTTCAGGGAGAGATATATTTTGTTAAGCGGTTGTTTTATGTCCTCCAAATTACTTAAATGTGCTTATTTCTTTAGCATATTTTTTATTTTTCCATTACAGTTGACATTCAACATTATTTTATAATTTCAGGTGTACAGCAAAGAAGTCAGACATTTATATAATTTACAAAGTGATACCCCCAATACGTCCAGTACCCACCTGGCACCGTACACAGTGATTACAATATTGTTGACTATATTTCCTGTGCTGTACTTTACATCCATGTGACTATTTTGTAGCTACCAATTTGTGCTTCTCAATCCCTTCACCTTTTCCACTCAGTTCCGCAATCCCCTCACATTGGTTGTTCTCTGTATCTGTGAATCTGTTTTGTTTGTTCATTTATTTTGTCCTTTAGATTCCACATATAAATGAAATCACATGGTGTTTTTCTGTCTCACTTACTTCACTTAGCATAATACCGTCTAGGTCTATCCATGCTGCCTCAAATGGTAAGATTTCTTCCTTTTTATGGCTGAGTAATATTCCACTGTATATATGTGCCACACATCTTCTTTATCCACTCGTCTATTGATGGGCACTTGGGTCGCTTCCATATCTTGGCTCTTGTAAATAATGCTGCAATGAGTATAGGGGTGCAAATCTTTTTGAATTAGTGTTTTGGATTTCTTTTGATAAAAACCCAGAAGTGAAATTGCTGGGTCATCAGGTAGTTCTATTTAATTTTTTTAGAAACTTTGGTACTGTGTTTGATGGTGGCTGCACCAATCTGCATTCCCACCACAGTGCACGAGGGTTCCCTTGTCTCCACATCCTGGCCAACACTTGGTTTATTGACGACAGTCACTCTGACAGGTGTGAGGGGATATCTTGTGGTTTTAATTTGCGTCTCTCTGATGATTAGTGATATCGAGCATCTTTTCATGTGTCTCTTGGCCATCTGTATGTCCCCTTTGGAGAAGTGTCTATTCAGGTTCTCTGCCCACTTGTTAATTGGATTTTTTAAATTTTTTTTTTTTGGTGTTAAGTTGAATGAGTTCTTTGTTAAGTTTTGGATACTAACTCCACATCGAATGTATTATTAGCAAATAGTTTCTCCCAATCGTTAGCCTGTCTTTTCATTTTGTTGATGGTTTCCTTTGTTCTGCAAAAACTTTTATAGTTTGATATAGTCCCATTTGTTTATTTTTCCTTTTGTTTCCCTTGCCTGAGGAGATATATAAAAATATTACAAGAGCAATGTCAGGTATTTTACTGCCTATGCTTTCTTCTAGTTCTATGGTTTCAGGCCTTACATTTAAGTCTTTAATCCATTTTGAGCTTATTCTTGTATACGGTATAAGGTGGTGGTCTAGTTTAATTTTTTTTTGCATGTATCTGTCCAGTTTTCCCAACTCCATTTATTGAATAGACTGTTTTTACCTCACTGTATATTCTTGCCTCCTTTGCCACTAATTGACCATACAGGCATGGGTTTATTTCTGGGCTTGATGTTCAATGTGCTTATTTCTAATGGGAAAAAAGCTGTGGGTGCCTAGTCCTCTCATACCCACCACGCAGAATTTCAGGAATCTCCCTCAACAGCAACCTAACAGTGAAGAGAGGGTTTGGCCCTGGCTGGTGTGGCTCAGTTGGTTGGGCACTGTCCCATGCACCGAAAGGTTGTGTTTGTTCCTGGTCAGGGCACATGTCCAAGTTTCGGGTTCGATCCCCAGTATGGGGCATGCAGGAGGCAGGTGATCGGTGTTTCACACTCACATTGATGTTTCTCTCTCTTCCTTTCCTTTCCCCTCTCTAAAAATCAGTAAAATATATTTAAAAAGGGGTTTTGGCCTCTTCTGCAACCCCCTGCTTCCCCAGCCAACATATCATGGGGCCAGAGATGCAGGATCATAACCACTACATGCTCTCCTTGGCACAGAGCTAGTACTTTACGTACGTCTAATTGGTTCTTTATCACAATCCTGACACAATGCCTGTTTTACAGGGGGGAAAGGTCGTATTTACACTGGTCTCTACCAGTGAGAATGTAGTCATGTAGCCTATTGTCCAGGATGCTGAAATAGGGTAGATAGGCCTATGATCTTAGGTTGCAGTGGTGAAAAGACTGGGCTAGGAAAGTAGTATCACTAAATGGAACCTATGGTTCTTGAAGATGTTGACAGTATCTTTTCTAAAACTAAGCTTCCAGCTCTCCTGCCCCTCCAAGCCCACTGTGTTGATCAAACAGAGAAAGGGTATGGTTGAATTAATATTTTGACCATAACCTTTAGTGACCTTTGCCAAGAGCAAGGCAGTTGCTGGTTCACATACTCCACTTAAACCTGTGCTATAAATGCTTCCCAGAGGCTCTCCCATGTCCATTCCTGATGGGGATTTTTCAAAAATTCTAATGAAGGAAACAGAACTAAAGAAGGGAAATCCAAATGACCAAGTGAATGGAAGCAACAGTCAGGCAACAAGAATGTGTCTCTGCAAGTGGTAAACTGGGCTCATTTATCTGTCATTAGCCCAAACAGTTCCCCACATAAGGAAATCCAACAGCCTGGATTATTCTTTCACCTTTTACATTTCCCAACCCTACCCCTCAACCAGGTTGTCCCTTTCTGAAAATTTTTCCTCTTCAAGGTTACTGGGGATGTTCAGCTTTAACCTGATTTTACTTGTATAAAAATATTAGGGATAGCAACGCATTGCAGTTATTCCTAGCCAAGCAAATTATCCTGTTACAATGAGATATTAAAATGCTAATTTCTGTTTGTTCCAAGCAGAAGAAACCAATATAGTTAAATTAAGCAAAAATAAATTTAAGAACATAGGAAACACATAGCATGACTAGAAGGCATGGAAATCAGGGACTAGGAAACAGTTACTTACAAAAACCATCGGATTAGGAATGTACTAGCCTTCCTTGTTCCTCTACTCAAGTTCAAATTTCAGGAAGGGAGCATTTCTGACCTAGCTTGAGCTGCATTCTCATGTAATAACTGGGGAAGAGCAGAGTACCTAATTATTGTCCACCAAAAGGTATCCAGTGGGAAAGGGGTAATTCCTCAACGGGAAGTCAGCATGATTATAAAGGAGAAATAAAATGTATGGGTAGGCAAAACCATTCAGTAAGCCACTGAAGTGAGGTATGGCTATGATTTTCTGGAGGTCAGGAAATACACAGTCATCTCTTATTAGATTTCATTGAGCTCCCCTCACTCTACCTTTACACAGGTGACACTGAACCTTCTCTCATGCTCTCTTTATACAGGTAACACTTCCAAACCTTTTTAGCGTTATTGATTATTTCATGAAGAAGACTCGAGGAAATTTACGACCATTCATATATTCAACTGATGAAACCCTCGGTATGTCCTTCATTTCATTGCCGTATTAAGAAAAGCAAAGCAGAGCAAAGCAAAACAAAACCCTGCCTGTGATTTGTAATACCTCCCAGGTAGCAGTGTAGTTCTGCTTTTAAATTTACCCAATTAGACATAATTTTGTCCCTGACCCTGTGAAAATAAGGGCGTACCAATATATCCTGGTGGACAGAGGATGGGCTCACAGTAGAAACAGAAAAACCCTGAGGCATGGGTTATGACTGTTAACTTCACTGCATTATTCTACTTGCCTTTATCAAACAAATTCAGAGAAAAGAAGGAAACCGTAACAGCCCTGGAAACCAAAGAGGACATATAAAGGTAGGGTCTGGCAACAGTGTCAGGCGCTCCAGACACGCTAACAGGGACAGGGACTGACCAGGGGACTGGCCATGAGGCAGGAGACGGCCAAGACATCCCGTTCACCACAAAGGCAGAAGTTAGAGCACGGAAACGAGGGGTGGAGGCTGGTAAGAGACTACTGATCAAGATTACAGATAGCAGGCAGCACCAACCACAGAACTTGGGGGGCCCCTTGTTCATAAACAATTAAGAAATTTAAAACACTGATAGGAGATCATTAAACCAAACATGAGACCCTGTGCAACTGCAGTTCACATGACCATGAAACTGGCCATTTGTACTCATATTTAGGCACAGCAGGGCAGGCTGGTTGTCTCTCTTTATCCTTTGAAACAATCCCCGGTACATGGGCATTTGAGAAGCCATAGCAGGAGACATAAAAAATATTTCCAGCTTGTCTGGATTCAGTTATCAAAACAAGTTCCTGTTCCTGCAGACTGCGAGGGAAAACAACTTTGGCTCCCTACAGCTGGGCATATCTGAGAAATCTCCTTAATTAAAAGGGCAGCAAGTTTGCCCTGGCTGGGTGGCTCACCTGGTTGGTGTGTTGCCCCATACACTAAAAGAATGCAGGTTGAATACCTGGTCAGGGCACATACCTAGGTTGCGGGTTCTATCCCCAGTTGGGGTGCGTACAGGAGGCAATCGATCAGTGCTCTCCTTCTCTCTCAAGTCAATAAAAACATATCCTTGGGTGAGGATTATAAAAAAAAAAAAGGGTAGCAAGTTTAAGATTTAAAGCACGTCTATAAATTTTGTGATGCCAAATTAAAAAAAAACTTTGAATCTGAAGGAACTTTAGAAAATTATCCAGTATAGTGTTTTATCTACACATTCAGTACAGAAACCAACTCTAAGATGTGACTATTCAGGATGCTTGAAAATTTCTAATTATAGTCACCTCACTGATTTTTGAGGCAGCACAGTTCACTTTTGGTTAGCTCTCATATTAACAGAATTCTTCCTTAATACTGACTATGAAATATCCCTTCTTTTAACTTCTACATATTAATCCAATTTCTGGCATTGAGACAACACGGGATTTAGCCACATG